AGACTTTATAATCAAAGTTAGAGGTGCAACAAAGCTAAGAAGCGACAGCAGCCGCCATCACTTTGAAATCTTCAGCTCTGCATCCTCTCAAAGATCAAAACCGTCAAAAATAACGAACAAACTCACGAGTCAAAGTTCACCAAAGTTGCATTTCACATAAAAAACAATGCACTTGCTGCCCAGATGAGGTCACCTATTAATCACAGCTAATCCATTAGAATGAATCAACTTCATTTGTAATAACATTGAGATAAATATTGATTCAAATGCTGATGGCAGCATGCAGATATGTGACATCACCTCTGTCCAAATGAAGCCTGAGCGCATCAGAAAACCACAAAATAAACCAAAAAAATAAAGCTAGTCAGTAACATACTGATGAAATTAGCAAAAACTGCTTCACAATGAGGCTGCTTTGTACTTAAATATTTGCATTTCCAGACATTTACTGCTTCTCCTGCACCACAGAGGAGCATCTTTTAATGTCATTCATCTGGGAGTTCATTTAGAATTCGATGCACAACATGTATAAATACTTATTCGATACGATGCACCGTAAAAACCACCAGAACAAAGTATCTGCTTGACTTTCCAAGAACTGAAAAATGGGAATTTTTCCTGCAAAAGCGACAAATATTTCACGCTTTGTGCCACTTTGATGCCACTTCTGGAGAACTTCTTACTATTTCTTGTTGTTGATCAAATCAGAAAATAGATGGAAACACTGATTAGTTGCAGTAGTCCTTTATAAAACCATGAGCTCCACTTTGTCCAAACAGCTCGACGCGTCCGTGATATTGACCTAATTATATGAAATGCACCAGTCGGAGCTCCACAGATGCAGAATCTGTGCTTCGGCGCGTTTAGCCTGGATTTCCCCGTTCAAAGCGCCTCAGTGAATTACTGCTGCCGTCTTGTCACACAGAGACTAAATTGTCTCATCAGCTGCCTCCTCCTCCTCCCCTCCGTGCTCCCCTGACATATTAATGTTCTTCCCGTCTCCAGATCGAGGCCAGTCCACGTGAGCTGAGGGGATCTTGGCGAACCGAAGCCAGAACGAGTGACTCGCTGGCCAGAAGCCTCGGCCGCCATGTTGGAATCCAGACAGGAGGAGGAAACGACACTTCAATCCATCTTGTGTTTTCTTATCATAAACTACGGATGTGTACGAAGATATCTGTGAAAATTTAGCTTCATATATGAAACACTTTCTGAGATTAGTTTTTTGAACAATCACCCATTGATCCACTTTCAGCAGGTTTGTTTTCTCATTTTAAAATTTAAGAACAACAACATCTCAGGAACTCTTAAAGATAAAAACCAAACATTTTCACCGTTATTTCTCATCATGACGTTGATTCAGAATCTGCAATATTGGCTGAGTTGAATTTCTCTTTTTAAAAACTAAAGCTGTTCTAAAAAGAATCATGTCTGAGCTCATATTAACAATAAAACTGAAGTCACCTGCGAACGGAAAATGAAAAATTCCACCGTTTATCAGACAAAAACAACGAAAACAGAGAAAACTGACAGATTTTTAATGTTTTCTGCTGTTCGTTTGGGAAACTTGAGCCAAAATCTGAGATTAAAATTGTATTAGTTCATCAAAATCGCTTTACTCTCCATGTCTTTAACCCTCCAGGTATCTTATCAGCGTTTCACGTCTCTAAATGAGTGATTGACGTCATTTTTCAGTTTTATTTAAAAGGCTTTTTACACATAAACGTGGGAAACAATCTTATTAATATGATAATTTTCTGGAGGTTGAAACTGTTGGAGGGTCAAGTTGAGCCCCAGGATAAACGACGTGGGTAAATTTGAAAGAAACAGGCGGGTTAATTAAAAAATGGCCAAAAAATAAACCGTCTTTTTAATTCTGTGCTCATCGTGCGACCATGAAGCCACGACGGACTCAGCAGCGACCGACAGCCATGTGACAAACACTTTGGTTGAACTGCAGGCGGTGTTTCCACAGAGCAGAGAGGAGACGAAGTAAAAATGTAAATAATAAAATATCCGTAATATGTAGAGTCACTATGATTTTTTTCAGTGCTGGTAACACATGTGGGCAGTTGGAAAAGCATCGTATGTGCTGATTCCAGGATTTTTCAATTTTAAAAAAAAGAGAAATATAGAAGGAAATTTTAGTTTTTTATGTTTTCTGATTTATAGCAGTATTATTTTGTCATATTGAACAAAACACCTTTCTGAGTTCCTCTCCGTCATGGTTGTTCTGTTTCCACAGAGGTGCAGGATTTTATTTTGCAGAATCCAAACAGGAATCTCCCTGCGACCAGTGAACCTCTCTGTGCTGCTGGAACCTCTGCGCCACAAACCGACCCGTTTTAATAGGATTACAGCGTTTGCACTCCTGAACTCTGCACAGCATCCCCACATTTCTTTTTTTTTTTTTCAGGCTCCAGCTGAAAAAGACGATTAAGCTGAAGCGCGTAAACGTGCCGGCGACTCACGTGACGTCTCCTGCATAGTGTCGGATCCGGAAGTGCTTCTGAAAGTCCATCGTCTTGTCGGTGGGGCTGAGCTGGAAAAACAGGACGAACACGGCGTCACAGATCAACTCCTCATGATCACAATACAGACATTTTGCACAGATGTCAACTGTAAAGGGAGGAAATGACGCCTGTGTTTGGAGATTCTGCTGTTTGAGGTACAGTTAAGACGGCTGAGGAGGAGAATAGTGGAGAAACTCTGCTCTCTGTTGACAAAAACACAAAACTGCACTTATATTTTAAAACATCTGCACTTGCATCCATAGCTTGGAGTAAACCCATTTTGACATATTTACATTAATATCCCATCATTTAAAGCCACAACTTCCAACTAGATGCAAAACTACATGGATTTTTAGTCGCACAATCGTGAGCGTGCTCCGTTTATTTATTGATTCTGATTAAATTGAACTTGTGAAACAGCTTTTCTGGCTTCTGTTTGCATGTTTGCAATCCATCCTGACCCAAAAAATAAATGTGCAAAGCTGAATGTATTCTTTATTTGGTGTTTTTTTTGTGTCTTTATATATTTAAAATGCACATGTTTCTGTGTCTAATGAGAATAAATGTTTGGTTGCCTGTTTCTACAGATCTATGTGAAGTAAAATCCTGTTTTCTGTTTGTATTAATGTCACTTCTGCTCGCATCAAATCATTGCTTTCTGCAGAGGAAACTATCGGCGTCTCTAATTTTGGCTGAAAATACGATTCCTCTAGTTCTGCAGTACGTCAGCAACAAACCATCACTTCCTCCTCAGACGTCTGAAAAGTTCGACATCCTCTTTTTTAAAAACTTTTCCTCAGTTTCGTGTTGAGCAGTTAAAGCTGTTCTGCTTTTGTTGAGCAGCATCACAATCCAGGAGAGGAGCATTTTATTAACAGACAAAACATCACTGAGCAGAGGAAGGTTGTAGCTTCATGCTAATTCAGAACATTCATGGGACAACGTCCGTAAAACAGAATCCTTTCACATCCATCATGAAGGGTTTTGTTCATTCATTGATGCTCTTTTTCACTTGTTCATGCACAAGATGAAGACGTAGGAAAGAATTTTTCAGAAGTGCAGTTTGAACTTCACTTCACAGTATTTTAATCCTTTAATGTGAACAATGTTGGGGTCCATTTATTACTATATAGAGTGTTTTTTCTAACTGTGTGTAGTGAAAACTGTTCAGGATGTAGTACAACAATGCATTGCGAGCAAAGTCCGCCTTTTACTTTGCTGTAAATACAGTCGTGACTCGATAATCCGACACTAAATGTCTTTTATGTCGGATATCAAGGCTGTCGGATTGTCAAGACGGAGGTCCAGATACGAGGAGGGCTTGATGCTGGAAGGCTCATTAGTTGTTAATTATTGTTTATAGTTGTTATAATAACTAGTGTATTGTTAGAACACTACGCATCGCTGGACTTCAGCCTCACTGATTGGTGTGATTGTACACGGGCCTGTTGGTTGACATCAAAGATGAATAAATCTGTGGGATTGTTCAGTCAGATAATACGCCGTCATCCTGATTGGTGACATTAAATGTCAGAATCCAAGGCTGTCGCTATGTTAAAGCTGTTTTTAATGAGTTCCTAAAAACCTGTCGGATAGCAGGTTCAGGATTGTTAAGGGTCGGATTATCGAGTCACAACTGCACCTCCTTTTCTTCTTAGTCTTTGTTTAAATATCTTATACTTTATACTTTATATATATGTTTTTCCTTCCACGTTATTTCTTTTACTTGTTGCTGCCACAAAGGATGCTCCAACAACATGTCACTGCTGTAACACTGTCTTTTTACTCTTGTGTCCACAGTGACAATAAAAACTATTCTATTCTATTTTACAGGTATTTTGGGGGGCTTTTCTGCCGTTAATGTACAGGACAGTGAAAGCGTGACACAGAAACATGGGGAGAAGACATGCAGCAAACGAGCTTCTGGCTGGAATCGAACCACAGCCACTGAATCGGAGACAAAAGCCCCTGAACACGGGTCACCTGCCCAACCTGTTCTGTTCTATTCTATTCTATTCTATTCTATTCTATTCTATTCTATTCTCAGCTCTTAGGTTATTCTTTACATTTATGTTAATCAATCATGTGCATAACTGTTGGACTCCCCTCATGATGATGCTGCCGCCGCCATGCTTCACATA